GGGGTCCTTCTCGGAAAGGGGTGGGCGGGCGTAGTCCCAGGTCCCCGCGCAGGCCAGGCGTTTTCCGGATCGCGCACGCTGGGCACGCGTTCCCGGGAACTCTGCTGCTGAAAGACTCTTGTGGGCAGCGCGCACTCCCAGTGCTCCGACCCTGCGATTCCGCGGCCGAGGCGCCTGCTACAGATGATCAGAGAGAGAGATAAAAACACTTGATATTTCCTTTCTCTCCAGGCGCTCGGACGCGCCGCGCGCCCCGCCGCCCGCAGACCGTGGAGCCCGCAGCCGCTGCCCTGTGCTGCCTGTTGCTGCTCCTGATGATTGACAGGCCGGCGCACAGTCGGCGTGTCACCAGCAAACCCAAGTAACATGCAGTCTTGCACGTTTTTGCTGAAGTGCTTTGGCCCCTAGGAATGCCGAGGAACGCCTCTGCGCATCGGAAATCAATACACGGAGACGAGAAATTCAGGTTTTAAACCATTACTTCGCTAGGGATTCGGTCTCCAACAATGCCTAAACAAATATGCATTTGCTACACATGCCGAAAACTAGCCCCCTCTTCGGCATAAATGGCCCCGTGTTTCCTACTTCGGATCGTTTATAGACTCTTCAAATTTTGTTACTGTTCGGATGGGGGGGGCAAAAGTGAAAGGGACCCTGCTTCTTTTAGTTTTTTTTTTTTTTTTTTTAAACGGTAGAATTTTAAGAGCATTTAGCTATTGGAATGCTGCTGGTGTTCTGAAATGCAACTAGCTCTAGAGCGAGTTCAAAGAAATGTTCTGTTATTTGCAAAAGCAAACATTTCTCACCTTATCTTTCCTAAAATGTCTACAGAATTGGAAGGAAAGAAATGGTTCTTACCTAATGCAAAGATTGGAAATTGCTTTTCAGGCACATGTACAGCCACTGCAGCTGTTCCTTATCCAGGGCATGGAGCTCTGTCTGCCGCTATCATTCTGCAAACCACTTGCGTGCCTTACAGAGCGATCCCACTCCAGTTCCGCAGAATTTCAGCTCCTCTCCACCACCTCCACCTCCACTGCAGGACCCGCCTCCAGTGATATCATATGTCAATCAAACGGGCCACCCGAAAACCTGGAACAGGATTTTCTTAGCTGGCCTTTGCTTTTTCGTTTACAGGACCAACTTGGGAACATTACCGTGTATTCCACCTCTAAAAATCAGGGATTGCCTGTAAAAATCCTACAAATTGCAATTTGTCATGAAAAATACATTCTAATTTTGTTATCGATCTCTGGTTTAAAGAAATTGGTGGACTCCGACCTTGAATTGGAAAAGAATTCTGAAGAATAAAAGATTAAAAAAAAATGCATGCCAGATCATCACTTCTGATTAACTAGAGGGAAAGTGTGTATTGATCATTTAAAACTTAGAACATTACATTTATCTAAAACAAGGTTCAGAATATGTGAGATCTGAAATTTCAAAAAGTGGCACTCCTTTGTGCAAATATGATATAACGACATAATATAGCATAAAGGTGAAGGTGCCAGCTGTGAGTTTTTAGATAATGGCTCTATCTTGGATTATGATATAATTTTCTAAATATCAATTACATGAAAAATGTTTTTATATAGTTGTATAATTTTCCAAAGCAAAAAATTTAATAGTTTTGCTAAAGGACAATTAATTAAAATAGAAATAATTTACCACGAAGTTTTATAATTCTTGATGTGATGTATCACTGAATAATCACCCTGATAGGAAACTTGATTCTGATTCTTTACAAACTATAGGATTTTGACATGTTACCAAAAACACATATTTCATGCTGCACTAAGGAGAGCTGTATGTAAAATGTAAGGTTCTATAGAGATAAAAACTAAAAAGCATATAGTTAATAGAAAGGAAATGTTTTTCCTAGTAGCACACATGAGGGACAGATAAGGTCTTTGGCAAAAAAAAAAAAAAAAAACACCTAGAATCTAAGTCATATATGTATTTGAGTATGAATATTTTGAATTCAAAGTAATATTTTAAAAAATATTTACAATAGCAAGTGATTCTGTGGGAACATTTTTTTTTTACCCATACTGGACTTTCAAATGCTTGAATGCTTTTAAAAATTTAACTTGTGTTTGACACTGCTTCTAAGAAATCCAAGACATAACCGAAAGCATCAACAAGATAGCATCACCAGAAAATAAGAAAAGAAGCTACGCATTCACCCTTAATAGAAAATGTATTAAAATAATCTACTTTAAAACATAACATTGAATTTATGATACTATAAGTTGCATTAAAAATTATTTTAAAACAAAGTTCATTTTATCATATATTTTTCATAGAATTCATTAAATTTGAGCATATAATGCAGTTTTACCAATGAGGGATAGGTTTTTTGTGAATGGATTTGGACTATCCAAATCAGAAATAAAATATCACATCAAAGTATCTTCTTTGGTTCTTTCAAATTGTCTTCTCAGCAGTCACAATTTTAGGATGAGTGGTCATTTCACCATTATGGCAAAACCAGGAGAGGGAGCACTGAACATTCTTACTCCATAAATCTCACAAATGCATATTTGAAAGTTTTCTTATACAAACAAAATTCAAAGCACTATATTCAGATTTATTAAAATAACTTGTGATATTTTAACATTATAACTACAATCAGATTTTATCTAAAACAGTCATGTTTACTTAGAAATAAAATATATAAAATGAATCAATGAAACTTGAGGTCATTTAGTGTCAAAATGCATCAATACCTCTCTATTAAATTACAAGTAAATGTAAGAATAGCTTTTTACTTCGTAGGAATTCTAAGTTTTTAGCTGAAAATAGACACTATTTATTCAGTAAATTTAATTACAGGATACCTTGGCTAGAAATGGTAACTGGAGTGTGAAACTTTTCTGAAAGGAAAACAATGTAAATATCAATGGGAAAAGCTTATAATAATTATTAGTTTACCATAGTAAGATATGTTTAAAGTGGAATGGAAAGTGAACCCTGATTTGTTCTTTCTCTTGTGTAAACAAGATTAGCTATCTCTTCTGCTGATTTGATTTTTGGAAAAAAAAAAAGGGGGGGTCTGGTAAATCCTCATGACTGCTAGAGATTAAGAAAAATTAAACAGTAGAAAATACTTTACTTATTTATTTACTTTATTTGCCAAAATAAAAATAGAACCACAATGTGTTCCAAGCTTTTGAAAAATAATACTTTATTAATTCTCCCATTTTTACTACTATTTTACTACGAAATTATTACTAACAATTATATTATTTATTCACTTATTGAGAAACTAATCACAGAATTTGATGAGTTAATGAATAAGAATCTAATAAATCAATGAAGAACTAGTAATGGAAACTAACTTCTCTTTACTTTCCTTTTAGGGCTATAGTCAATATATTACTCCACTTCCCAAGAAAAGTTGGCAAGGATAGGCCATGTTATTTTCAGTTTCCTTTTGTAAGCAATCTTTGTAGTTGACAGAAATAGACTAACCTATTCTTTAAATTTTCCATAAACATTATCTTAATTTTCATAAGTGTAATTCTCATTGCCTGTCTCATTTAAAATACTCATGTTCTGTATTGGTTTCAGATTCTGGAAGTGGGCAAATCAAGCGATGCAGAACCAATTACACTGAACGATTTGTTGTTTTTGTCAGCTCTATACACTTTTGCACATTGTCACAAGTGATTTTATTTTTCTGCAGTTATAAGAAAAAGAAATGCGCGTGGAAGGGATCTAAATGGATGCCCTTTGTTTCTGATGTGCCATGTTCCTTTATGAAGTGACAAGTTGGAATAAACCTAATCACCACTAATAGCAAAGATTTTACTAATTAAACCCACGAGGAAACTTTGTATAAGGAACTATCTTTGCCTTAGTATGAAACAGTCTTCATTTCTTATCTAGCCAATTGCATAACAAATCCTGTCCTCTTTACTCCTCCAGTGATGAGCATGGTGATGGATTTATTGCTCCCATCCAAGTGAGCCTTGACTTGTTCTTCATTTTCATAAGAAAACAACATTGGCTGTCTTTTCTGCTGATTTGACTTTTGAAATGAGGAACAGAATGTCCTCATAAAGATCACCGGGTATCTTTGATTCTGGTCAACAAAAGTTATTAGTTTCTCATTTCCATAACTACCTACTGCTATCTTCATCTTTTAAGATAA